GGTGTCCTGCTGAAATGGAAACCAACAAAACAATGAAATGGCATCTTAACAGTCTGGTTTTACTAATCCTTCTCTTCTGTCTAGAGGTTTGCTATTTTTCATTAATGTCTTGTGTTCTACTTATACCTGGCAAACCATTGTTGTACTTCAGAGACTTTGAGTAAGCATATGGTGTTCCTGTGAGTTCACTACCACGCACAAGGTGACCTTTGGGCCTTTCAGATCTTTGTTCTCGGCTATCTCCTGTGAAACTCTTGACTTTGAAGATGGTTACTAGCTGTTGATGGCTTTTTGATCTGGAAGAGGAAATCATCCCATGGTGAAACAAGCGTGAGTGTTACATGGAAATTAAGTGACATTGGTGTAATATAAGAACCACAGTTTGATTGCTTTAAAATGTCAAAAATATTTCACAGAAGAAGGGCTTTTGGAGAGAAACTGCTATTTTTCAAACTCAAGGACAAAATAATGGCACAATGGTTTTTGACCACTTTTGGCAGGCTGCAATGCTGTTTATATTTATATAGAATTCAATAGAGGGTTCAGTTTCATCATAATTTGGCAGAGAAATATGACACCACAGTCAAAAAAACAGAATTTGTCCTTATAACCCCAGAAGTCCTGCAACTAAATCTTTAAACCCTTACTCATGCAATGAGCTCATGTCTATAGCTCTGCCTGAGGCCTTTAACCACCGTTACAGCCCCGATCTTTAACCTCAAGGAGCAGTAACTAACCGTGGAGCCGCTCATTCCTCCTTTCTTCTGTCTTTATCTCCATTCCCCTATCACTTTCTTTCTTTTTTTAAAGGAATAGTTCACCATTTTGGGAGATACGCTTATTAGCTTTCTTTCCTAGAATGAGTCAAGAAGAGTCTGTATGTTGAAAGAGTAACATTACTCCACTGATTTAGCAATTCTTTTCTGACAATATCAGGCTCGCGATGGACAGTATAAAAATTGCTGCTGCAGAATCAGAGCTTCATCATCTTTTATATTCCACACATTCTTCTTTCTTGTCAAAACCTGGTGCCTACATTACCTACAATGCAACTTGACCACTGACAGTTTGCTCAGAGATTCGGATATGCTAGCTAGCAGCGGCTAATGTATCCTCGAGTCACTAGCGTCAAGCAGAGATGAGGAGCTGGCTACAGAGGTCTGGTAAACTCACTTCTTTCATCTCCACATCCCAAGATTGTTTTCATTTACAAATTTGTAGTCTCCAGCCCCAAACCGTCGCTGACTCAAGTGACATCACTTGAAGCATTTTCTCAGACTTCACACAGCTCCCTCTGGAGCCACAAAAGGCTTTATACAACTTATTTGAGAACTCCCTAAGACGTGTAAACTGTATTTCATTTGTAAAATTTGCACAATTACAGTGGGTATAGAAAAGAATCACCCTCCTGTAAAATAATCACATTTTGTTGCTTTGCAGCCTGAAATGAAGACAGACACAGTTTTTGTTTCATTCAGCTGTATTTACTCAGTGCAACTTATAACATCCAAGTGAAAGATATAACACCAACATGTCATAAAAAAATAGAAAAACATAACCACTGAGTTGGAAAAAGGATCACCCCCTTGTTTCAGTATTTTGTTGAACCACCTTTTGCTTTAATTACAGCCTTTAGTCTGTTGGGATATGTCTCTACTAACTTTGCACATCTTGACGTAGCAATATTTGACCACTCTTCTTTGCAGAACTGCTCAATTTCAGTTAAATTTGATGGTGACCGTTTGTGGACTGCTGTCTTCAAGTCATTCCACAGATTTTCAATGGGGTTTAAGTCTGGGCTCTGACTAGGCCATGCAAGAACATTCACCTTTTTCTCCTTCAACCACTGTGTGGTCAGTTTTGCTGTGTTCTTTGGGTCATTGTCATATTGGAAGGTAAATCTTCTTTCCATTGACAACTTTCTGGCAGAGAGCAGCAGATTTTCCTCAAGAATTTGACAGTATTTTGCCCCATCCATTTTTCCTTCTATCCTGACAAGTGCTCCAGTCCCAGCTGCAGAGAAACAACTCCATAACATGATATTACCACCTCCATGCTTTACTGTAGGAATGGTGTTATGTGGATGGTGAGCTGTATTGGATTTTTGGCAGACATATCGTTTAGCGTTGAGGCCAAACAATAACATTTTAGTCTCATCTGACCATAACACCTTTTTCCACGTGGCCTTAGAATATTCAAGGTGCGTTTTGGCAAAGCTCAGTCGTGACTGCATGTGGCCTTTCTTGAGGAGTGGCTTTTTTCTTGCAACCCTCCCATAGAAGCCACATTTGTGGAGAATTTGTGATATTGTTGTCACATGCATACTTTGTCATGAATTCCTGCAACTGCTTCAGAGTTGCTGTAGGCCTCTTGCTAGCCTCTCTGACCAGTTTCCTCCTGGCTCTTTCATCCAGTTTGGAGCGACGTCCTGACCCAGGGAGGGTCTGTGTTGTACCAAATACCTTCCACTTCTTAATAATAGACTTCACTGTGCTTCTAGGCACTGATAAAGCCTTTGAATTTTTTTTGTATCCATCTCCTGACTGTTGCCTGTCCACAACTTTATCCCAGAGATCTTTTGACAATGTCTTGCCACCCATTGTTGATTGTTGTCTTCAGTTGCACTACCAAGGACTGAAATGCTTCAGGAAAAGCTTGTTTCATGCTGAGCTAATCAAAATGACCACAGCTGATCACAGTTGAAAGTCAGTTGGCTTTGTGTGCTATTGAGAAGGTGATTAACTACACCTGGTTAGGTTTACAAGTCATTTTTAGGAGGGGGGTGATTCTTTTTCCATCTGAGTGATTGTTTTTTCATTTGTAATTTTTTTTTCTGACAAGTTGGTATTATATCTTTCATTTGGATGTCATAAATTGTAAATACAGCTGAATGAAACAAAAACTGTGTCTGTCCGTTTTCATTTCAGGCTGCAGAGCAACAAAATGTGATTATTTTACAGGGGGGTGATTTCTTTTCTATACAAACTGTAAAGTACAGAGCTGGAGGTAAGCCATGGTTAGCCTAGCTTAGCATAGACACTGGAAAAAGAGGGAAACAGCTAACCTCTTCAAAAACACACCTACTAACACTTGACTAAATAAAACATTGTGTATCTTGTTTGGTAAATTCAATTCAAATTAGCTTTATTGGCATGGATGTGTGCAACAATATTGCAAAGCATCATACAAACTACAGAAGAACAATCAACCCCATACATTTCATAAAACAGTAAGCGTGTGTGTGTGTGTGTGTTAAAAAAATAAAAAAATATTAAAATAAAATAAATAAATAAAACAGTAAGTGTGTGTGTATTATGAATTGATAAAAAAAATAATAATAATAATTTTAAAAAAAAGAAAGAAATCAGTATCAAATGTAAAAACAAAACAATTACTAAAATATCAAGCAATCAAAATAATAATAATTTGAAAATTTGTACAATTATTTGTCAGTCTCCACTGGTTGTCCTCACTTCATGGCATGAGGAGACATATTTTGCAGCAATTATTTGACATTTGGGCATTTCTCCCAGTAAATAGGGGAGTGTCTGATATAATTTGAATTCGAGGTATATTTGGGAAATGTTTGCAAAGTGTTTTTGTCTTAGTGTTTTATATTTAGGGCATGAGGTTAGAAAGTGCAGCTCTGTCTCAACCTGTCCTGTGTCACACTGGGAGCAGAGTCTCTCCTCTTGTGGTAGCCAGCTCTGTCTGTGGCGACCCTTTTCTATGGCCAGGCTGTGTTCACTCAGTCTGTATGTTGTCAACATTTTTCGTAGTTTAGGACATTTTATTGTGCTCAGGTAATTTGCCAGTGTGAATTCTCTTTTTAGGGTCAGATAACATTGTAATTTACTTTGTGTTTTGGTCGTTTCTTTCCAGTATTCAATATATTTTTCTTTCTGCTTGTTGATAATTTGGTTTGGTCTGCTTGAGTTGGTGTTGCTGTCCTGAGGTTGTTGTGGACTTATTACTGCAGAGAGCCTCAGGACCAGCTGGCTGAGGGGACTCTTCTCTGGTTTCAGCTCCTGGTATGTTAGGGCTTTGTAATGGTATGTCTGGGGGTTAACTGATTTTAAGTGATTGTAAAATTTAATTGATCTTTTCTGTATTTTTAGTAAGAGGGGGTATTGGCCGAGCTCTGCTCTGCACAGGTTATTTGGTGTTTTTCTCTGCACCTGCAGGATGCTCTTACAGAACTCGGTATGAAAACATTCTATGATTGTTTTGTCCCATTTGTCAAATTCATTATTTAGTTTTGGCCGCCAAATGTAAATCCTTATATAAACAAATGTGTAAAATGACAATTTGTGGTTTCAGAGGCCATGATATAACTGTTACAGACATCTGATTGATATCTTCTCATAAAAAAGAAAGCAAATAAGCATATTTCCCAAGATGTGGGACTATTCCTTTAAACCTGCTTTTTGTACTTCACCACATAGACATAGTCTTCTTACTTACTGCACATGTTTTGCTTTTGCCTCACCCCTATTCCCTTGTGAGGTATTCTGTATTCTCCACTTGTCTATTTGTCTGCCTATTCTCTCGGTACTAAGGGACTTAAATTTCCTCTTTTACCTTGAAGCCATCTTCCCTTTCTCTGATTCTTCCCATCTGTTCTCTCTTCCAAAGTGTCTCCCTGCTGTATGCGCCCGTTGGGTTCCTCCCATAAATCAAACCTTCCTCAGGCTTATGTTTACACCTCTCTCTTCTGGGTATGTATCTCCTGGGAAAGTGCAGCAGTGAGTGCACTTGTACGAGCGAGCAGCAGGGGAAATAGCTAATCACTCTGTTGCTGTCTGACAGTCAGGGGTTATATGATCTGGCCTCAGTTTCCTGACCACATGGAAAGATGTTCATCACACAGCTGCATTTTCTCCACGCCAGGCAGACGCAGACAGAAACACACAATCATACAGGAGATCTCACACATCCACACACACTTAAGACCAACATATACGTTGTGAAATGATCCCCCTATCCTGTCAATGTTGCAGTTGGTGCGGACAAGCAGTGCGAGCTGACCTGCAGACCTGCCGGCTATCGTTTCTATGTTCGTCAGGCCGAGCGTGTCCGAGACGGGACCCCCTGCTTCAACACCAGCTCAAACGACATGTGTGTTGAAGGACGATGCCTGGTGAGTGCATTTAATTGTGCATGAGTGTGAGATTTTAGCTTCAATTGACTGAATCAGTCCCTCCATTCTAGCCGGGGTTGACAAAGTCCAGATCCGGACTCTCTTAGTCTCATGTCTGGAGGTTGATTCAATCCTGGCATTCAGATTCAGAGTGTTTCCAATCTTTTTTTATTACTCTACTCTGGGCTTCTTGTCTCTGTATCTTTTCCTTTATTCTCTCATTTGCACTCTCGCTTTCTGATCTTATTCCACCCTTCTGTTTGTGGTAGGAAGCTAGCGAGTAACAGTTACCAATTTGCACAGACAATGGTAAAATAAAAACTAACTTTCCCCCTCACTTTCTGACCCATAACTTACATCTTTTCACCTTGTTCTCCTGCCAGACCGAGGGTTGCGATGGGGTACTGGGCTCCGGCTCTGTGATTGACAAGTGTGGAGTATGTGGTGGGCGAGACACCTCCTGTCGAAAGGTGACGGGAAGCTTCCAAAACGTCACGGTTCCCCTCGGTTACCACAAGATCCTGGATGTCCCACCGGGAGCTACATTCATTAACATCACGGAGAGACGAGCCAGCCCTAATTACCTGGGTAGGACCTAACAGACACAAACAAAATTATGCACACTCACATTTCTTAAATAATACTGTTTGCAGCTCCAGTAAAAGGGAGACGCTGGCGAGGGAATTGTATGTGGGAATGTGATTTGGCCCATGAGCACGTGTGTGCTGGCTTGGACTAAGACTGTAAACTCCAAGCAGATAAAGCCAGTATTGTTAGAGCCCACAAGGAAATAGTGTATTGTGTACGTGTATGTGTGAGTGTTTGTCTTGCCAGCCCCCTGTTTGGTAATGAGAGCACTCCAAAGTCTGTGTTTGTCTCTCTGAGAGTGTTCTGAGCTCATGGGGCTGTACTAGTGCTCACCACTATGTAGACTACACAAGGTCAAACCAAGAAAAGAAACCTTGAGTAAAGTATTACTCAATTCCTCCTGTCTGCCCTTCTGACACTCCACCCCAACCTCTATTTCTCCAGCTATGAGGAGTGGCACTGGGTCTTCAGTTGTGAATGGGCGGTGGGCTGTGGACCCTCCAGGGGAGTACCAGGCAGGAGGGACTACCTTCACCTACACCCGACCTAGAGCACAGGCAGAGGGGGAGGAAGAGAGAGGCGAGTCCCTCTGGGCTCCAGGACCCACCACCACACAGCTACAGCTATATGTAAGCACTGGACCACAGGAAGGCATTTATTTTAACCCTGTAAGCAAACATGAACCAGAGTATGGCAAAAATTAAGTTAATGATAAGAATCACACAAATACACATAGACAAATGTTTATACACCGATTATTTCACATCTCTGTAACATTGTCGTAAGCCTGAGGCTATGCTCTCCTGCTCTGTGTCAAGATCCTCCAGATAGGCAGCATTATTTTTGCATTATGGCACGATAAAGTCAGCTGTACTGAAGCTTAGCCTGAGCCACATCTATCCAGGGCTTAATAATAACAACTCTAACCTCAGGCTAAGATCTTATTAAAGAACGAGAGTCACCTGCAGCTTTACATCCAGTAGCTACAGGGAAGGAGGGGGTAAAAATAACAAGCATCAACCAAAGCCAAAGTTTGATCTCCTCTGGAATCACCTGCATTTTTAAGGCTTAATAGGATTTTGGAATAAGATATAAAAAGACTAAGCATCTACAACCACGCCAGTAGCACTGTGAGGCTGTACTGCTCAGTACACGAAGGAAAAGAAATTGATGGATGAATGAAAAATAGAAAGACAAGTCTGCTCTCTGTAGCACTTTCCCCCTGGTGGGACAAAATGATAAAGTGTTTTTCAGTTGTTCACTGGCTGTTGTAGGACATTTCAGCTTACCCGGCTCGGCATTTGATGATTAGGGTTTATGTCTGTATAGCACAAGTTACACCCCTAGCTACACCCATTGTTTACTTAGTACTTAGATATGTTTCTGGCTCTCGCCATCATTCAATTACATTACATAATCTTACTATCACAGCAGTATGCCACTGGAGATCTGCAAAGCGGTTTTAGGGAGCTTCCTGTCATTGGCTTCTTTTCACCTCTAGTTCTGTCTGTTTTGCTCTCCAGATAATTTTTCACAAGGACAACCCAGGCATCGACTATGAGTTTTATGTCCCGGTGGAGAAGAAGGAGGTAGAGAGGGAGAGGCTGACGGAGAGAGAGAGGGAGACACCCAGAGAGGCACCCAGGGATCGGCTGAGGGAGCGAGAGCCAGGGAGGGCTCCACTTCGCAGTACGTCCATCACACATAAACTTTCTGATTGTCCCTCTTCTGTCTGCCAGCCATGTTCTCTGCTTGTCTCAAACAGTAGCAAAGAGACACAGGGTTCTCATGTCTATGTCATGTACAGCACATAGTTGAATCGTGTCAGTGGCAGAATTGAACCCTAAATCAAGATTCATTCTTTCCATATTACTCAAGGAAACACCACTGCAACCCATGTCCTTGGAGAATGACTGACGTGTTTATGGATTAGGATGGGTTGTGGTTGTGGGCCAATTGGGAGAGATTATTGTACGTGTGTGTTTATGTGTTTGTGTGTGAGGCTCTCTGGTCCACATGTTCGCTGTCATGACACCCTGACCTCATCATGACATCATTAGCCTCTGACTTACTGCCTTCCTCAATATTTCAACATTCGCGTTTCGCCTCTTTCCTCCTTCTTTATCGCTCGTCTCCTCCTCCCCATGTCTGTTTCCCAATCTTTGCCCCTCTCTCCCACCTTTGCTATGTCTTTCTAATTTGTCTTTATGTCCACCTATTTTTTTATTCCCTCCTAGGTCCTCTCACCGTGTCAGTAGAAGACCCTCCCCCTGCTCCTCCTCCAGTTTCGATCCCTTCTTTCCCCTCTTCCTCCTCCTCTGTGTTTTCTCCTCACTCCTCAGACCGGTGGACACCGGAGAGGTCACGTCCTCGAGGATCTGCACCCAATAGGAATGCTCGGATCCCCCCGCGCACTGACCTGCCGCTGGACACTCAGCCACCATTTGTGTGGAGGAGAGGCCAACTCACTGAGTGCTCTGCTTCCTGTGGCAAAGGTTTGATTCTGATGAGCCTTGTAGATCTTCATATCTATTCCATTTTTAAATTAATTGCTTTGTACACAATATTATACTTACTTACTCTGGATGATGTGACGCCTCCCTCCTCTGGTTGGTAGGTGCAAGTACAATAACATGGAACTGATGCCTTTCTCATTTATCTATCAATCTCCCTCTCGCTGTAGGTTCTCAGCACAGAGTCATTCTGTGTATAGACCGCCATACAGACGAGGAAGTCCCGGAGAGGAGATGTGACTCTGCAGCCAAACCTGTCCCTGAGGAGGAGCCTTGTAACACACATCCCTGTCCACCATTGTGAGAAAATACAGTTACCTTGAAGAAATATGCATTATATAGATTTAGATTCAATTCCAAAACTTCAGCTTTCCATGCATTTTTCACAGCTGATACCTCACTGCACAAAAACCACACTGCAAAATCCCCCCACCAAGTCATTTTTTGTCTGTACTTTTAGTCCTTAAAGTCATAGTGATTAATGGCATATTAATCGTGATTAATTGCATATTTATGCGCAAAATTGAATAATGAATTCTAAAGTAGTGTATTGCGCACTTTTGATTTAAATGTACTGCTATATACTCAAAAGTGCAATAAAGTGGTTTGCAAACACTTTAAACAAATAAGGGGCTTTTTTACCAGCAGTATTCCCTTTACACAGTAGCAAAAATATTTCTTTATCTCAACTTAAACATTAATGTAATCAAATTCATATATGAAACCAAAGCTATTTGCCACTGCCAGGGCATTACCTTTTATCTAGCTTGTTAAAACAATTTAGAGTCCTGAGTCACGATCATAACATCATAAGAGGCGGACCTTCTGAGCAACAGGTTAACATATATAAATCTGTTTTCATGTTTTTCTGAAGAAGTATCAGCAGAAACATATTTCTTTTATCAGGGAGCAGCATAAACAGTCTATGTTCAGTAGCAAGCGTCCCTGTAATAGTGAGGTGAAGTGGTCGCCTCAGGCACACACCCGCCCGCTGCCGAAGTGAATTGTCTTGAACTTTTTGTACGTGACGCAGAGCACATAACCTTGGAAGAGAGACTGATCCTCGCTGTTTGTGAGTTTCCAGAATCTATTACTGTTTACTAAATAGGACATCAACAGGAGGGAATTTGCGTGGCAGAACATTCCCGCAAAACTAGATGAAGGCCTATGTGGGAAAGTTCTGTAAAATTTTAACTTAAGTTAAATAGGCTACAGCTGTGTAGCGCACATAACCCGTTGCCATGGTTACTATCCATAGAGTGCCTGCCGTTTCCTCGTGGAGCGCTGTCTGATCACCAGAGTGCAGAGCAACCCCGCGTGGCCACGCGACTACATTGTGATTTTAAGAACGTTCCTAAGACCGGCATCTTCCCCAATACTAATCAGCATGCAGTGGCATCGCTATGGCATTTGATTGCTTGTCATGCTTTTGTTTATCTACTTCTCCCACGCGGTGCATCTAGCATAGTCTGCCGAAGCCTCCCTCCACTGCTTGTTTGGGTGGGTGATTTGCAGGCTGATCAACATCCTACCCCTCCTGTGACCCGTGGTTTGACTTTATGTGTATTCAGAGCCAGTGAGCAACGGACTTTCAAAATAATAATAATAAAAACTGTGTTAACGTGCGATAAAATAATTGGCGGGGTAAATTAATTAATGCGTTAACGCGATAATAACATGTTAACGTGCCCAGCCCTAAAATCTGCCAGTGTGGTTTGAAAAAAATGTCCCTCTCTCTCTCCTGTCTCTCAGCTGGGAGGCCAGTTCGTGGTCAGAGTGCAGTGTGTCCTGTGGCCCTGGGGTGCAACAGAGGCAGCTCCAGTGCAGGCAGAGCTTTGGAAACCGCTCCACCATGGTCCACCCGCAGCGCTGTGCCAACCTGACCCCACCCGAGTCCACACAGGCATGTGAGCTCCGCCTCTGCTCCCATTGGGAGGTCAGCTCCGACTGGGGCATGGTAGGTCAACAACACCAATATGAGACTGGGACAAGCATAATGGCTCAGCGTACAGAGAGTAAAGTATCACAGATTCTGCAAGCATAATACAGACTGAAAGAGAGAGAGTGTGTAGAGTTGGGTTAAAATAAGCTTGTGTTTGTGTGCATGTAGCTCCATTTTGGCAGGTTACTTTCAAATTATGGCACAGTGTGTCTGTCATAAATTTTAAAATCCCTTCATTAGGTTAGTGTACAACTATTTTAATACACACTTTGCCATGGGTTTGTTTGCAACAAATCATTTAAGTTGAGTTTTTCATTTAATCAGTTACACATTTTGATTGAAGAATGGTAAAGAGTTTAAATAGATATCAATCATAAGAAATTTCCAGCCAACAGCTGTTTATAGTTTTACATGATAATTGATCTTACATATGATTTTAAATTTTCATTCATGATTTAAACTTTTTTTTTAATTGTAACTCATTTCTATTTTGTATTTATATGATTGATTTATGTGCTTATCTTGTGTTTCTGTTTTACTGCTGTGCCCTTTGGGAAGAAATAAATTGATTAATAATAAACCTTCTTTGTCAAATAGTATTGTGTATCTGTTTGTACTTATTCTGGTTTTTCTCCTTTCCATTTGTCATAGTGCTCAGTCGACTGTGGCATTGGCAGGAGGACAAGGAGTGTGCGCTGCGTCAGCGATCAAGGCAGCATTGTGAACGACAAGGAGTGCAACTCCGGGGCTCGCCCACAAGGAAGTGAGGAGTGCAATATGGGGCCCTGTGTAACCAACTGGTACTTCACTGACTGGTCCAACACAGTGAGTAATGCACATACACAGAAGCGAAGGAAGAAACATTCACTGCACTTAACAGCTAATCCTCAACATGATCTTCCACTTTGTCCCTCAGTGTTCAGCACAGTGTGGCCCTGGGGTGCAGAGGAGAGAGGTGGTGTGTCTGACTCGAGGAGGGATCAGAGAGGGCGGAGGAGGAGGGGACTGTGTTGGGGATAAACCAGCAGACATGAAGGCCTGCAACGGGGGTCCCTGTGTGCCAACAACTATGTGGTACAGCAGCCCCTGGACACAGGTAGGATTGAGGGAATAAAGAAATAAAGAATGAAGGAAATACAGAGACGAATGGAGATTAGATTTGACTATATAGACATTTTAAAATGTGAATGTAATGTTTTTTCATATTGTGAGTTTGATGCCTGACAAAAGTTCATGACCAAAATGTTGCATTTTCAATAACGTTAGTGCTGAGTGTTCAGAAATTCAAGTTTTTCTTTTAGTATCTACAACTCTAGCTATTTTTATTGACATTATGTAGTCTCCTGTGTCATCTTGCATCTTTATTTGTTTTGGAGTGAAAGAGTATTCATATTGCAGTGATAGATTAAGTACTACTTGTTTTCTTTTTCCAGTGTAATGTCCTATGTGGCAATGGAACTCAACGACGAGACATCATTTGTGTCCAGAAGATGGGGAATGATTTTATTGTCACACCAGCCAGTGAGTGTTCTCACCTGGACAAGCCTGCTGCGGTCCAGGAGTGTGAGATGGGAGAGTGTCAGCCACAGTGGTTCACAACAGAGTGGAGCGCGGTGAGAGACATGGGGAAAGGGAGCAGGATATGAGAATGAAATGTTGGAAAGAGAAAAAAATAATAATAATACACTTTATTTCATCCAGAACATGCTTTACATTTATAAAGGAATAAAAACAGGTAACAAATTAAGTTGAAAAAAAGCAGGTAAAGATAAAGTGCTGGTATTTCAGAGAAAGCAATCCATTTAAAAGATCAAAAAAGACATTCAAAGGCCATATGGGACTCTATGTGAAGCACGCACATTGTAAGAAGTGGTCCTAGAACAAGGCTACTTAAAGAGATTTATTTTTAAGTACCATTAAAAAATTTCAACAGCCTGCCTCACTGTTTGGAGCTGCATCTCCAACTTCTGTGATGTAGGTTGGTCCTCAGGCGCTGAGAGCTGTGTATACAAATAGAAGGACTTTAAAATCAATTCTAGAAGCTACAGGAAGCCAGTGCAGTGCAGCTAAGACTGCAGTGATGCGTTGTTAGCAGTCTAGCAGCAAAGATCTGGTTGCAGCCTCTCATTGGACATTTTAGGAAGACCAGTAAAACGTGCATTGCACCATTTGGCTCAACATATATGTACAATTATGTGTCATCAGCGTAGCTATGGACGCTTCATGATGATTTCACATAGAAGAAGGATGTATAGTGAGAATAACAGAGGGGCAAGGCAGATCCTTTGTGCAATGCCAGAGATTATGTCATGTTCCTTTGACACGCCAAGACAAGCATAAAATGCTTTTCCCTGCAATGTATCTTCGGCGCCCATTTAGAACACAGCCAGAGAGGCCAACCCAGTTTTCAAGACCAGATCCGAAACCTTACTGGTATCAGCACTAAGTCTCAGATCGCTATCTTTGTAAGAACATTCTCTGTGCTCTGAAACCTGATTGTAATTGCTCTAAAATATCATTTAGAAGAGTGTTTTATCTGGTGGAAAACAACTTGTTCAAGTATCTTGATTAAAATGCAGTGATGTGAAAATGAAATTATATTTTATTTGTAATCAATACTATTTACTGTAACTGTTCTCAGTGCTCACGTTCCTGTGGAAAAGGCTTAAAAATGAGGGAGGTGCGGTGTCTAACACAAGACAAAAAGCACAGCCATGATTGTGATTCAAGCTCCAAACCTGAACAGGAGCAAATCTGCAACACAATACCCTGCAGCCCACAAGTCTCAGGTGGGTTTGTGTGTGACAGTGTGACAGTGTAGATATGTGTGTGTTGGTCGTCCTCCCTACCAACCTCTCTGTTCTCCTCTCTGTACACAGATGAAAACTGCCGGGACAGACGTCACAACTGTGTGATGGTGGTTCAGGCCAGGCTCTGTGTCTACTCCTACTACAAGACCGCCTGCTGTGCCTCGTGTACCCAGAGTGCTCAGCGTGCCAAGAGGCACTGACCTGCCAATCACTGACGGCCCAGGTGTGCAAGAAGTCAAGGATTAGGTCAAAAGGGTCCCTGAAATGACAAGTCGGTAAAAATGCCTAGAGTAGACATAATCCCTGTGATGGCCGTCATATAACATTTAGCTATTTTCTCCTGGTTCTTCAGGTAAAACACTGTGAAAGCAGCCGGTTCCTTTTTCCAGTTCTCTGTATGCTACTACATATTCCACTGTGCTTACATCAGTTTACTATGTGCGTTTGTGCAACAGGTTCTTAAAGTGTCACACAGGGCTAATGCATAATGATGCATTTGCTGTGATTTCAGCCCTTTTCTGTGGCGGAGAGATAGCAATGGAAGGTGCTCACTGGGGACACAGCTGTTTTTCAATAGCAGATGTAGCCTTTTCTTAAGATTCTTTCTAATCTACAGGACCTTAAAATAGATGCAATCAAACATGCATACCACTAATTATGTAAAGAAACATTGCTGAACAAATTACCATGTGTGCTAGATAAACTGTATACTGTAGTAATATGTATGTTGAAGATCTACTGGAATAGATCTAATGTGTTTCTGTACACTACAGATGTCCCCCACTGCAGTGTACAGTGGCTACCCCCCAAACGAAGCTAGAAGGATTTCATTTACATATCATATGTCTGTTTCTGTTTGCCAAAAATATTTCCTGAAGTGTCTTCTTATTGTTCAGTTCAGTATTTGGACAGATGAACCAAAGTAGTGGGGTGACCATGGCAATAAGTGACCAAATATATCATAGCAGGAGGAGGTGAGATTCTAAAAGAAGGATATTAGACATGGATGATAAACCAGCAGCACAGAGTCTGTACAGTCCTTAAGCTTATTCTTGTCAATTACATATACATGTAGAATATACATGTAAAGGAGTTGTCCACAGCTAAGGTGTGAAGATTCATAGTTGCAATTATGTTTTTACTAAACTAAAGACAATGCTGCTCTCTGAATAACATACATGAAGAAATTAACGAGTGATAAGACTAACGGTATTCTATACTTTTCTTCTTGTCAACATATTGTTTGGGAAGTCAGAAATCACACATTTCTAATTTCCCAACCAAAGTCTCCGACCCCAGGTCTTTTTGACTGATGATGTAAATCTTTAAAAATGGCTAATAAATATATAGTTTCTTTTTTTGCACTGTAGTTTTTAGCAAATGTCACTGAAACAAGAGAAAGTAGGCATTTGTTAGGGCCTATTTTTTTTTAGCCACGGACAAACACATTAACACACATTAGTGAGGATTTATGACACAAGAACGGTGTAAGTAGGATTGACTCAAAATAAACTACAGTACCCATTTTCATTTTAATGAAGGAACATGTCACTCATTTATGTGTTTTTAATATATATTTTTTAAACAATGGAGGTCTGTTTATAGCATAGAGAAATAAGCTATATGAGGCTTTGGATACTCAGCTAGTACATGTTAGCTTCACTCCGCTGCTGGATTTGGTCTTTTCATGTGATTTGTTGACAATAAAAAAAAAAAAATAGAATATCTCTTTTAACCATGAACCTGGTGACGCACAGATCTGGAGATGTAAAATGATTCACCAGCTAGTTTTTGCATGTTAGTAATCACGGCACCGTGATGACAGTGCCGAGGTATTAAAAGAACATGTTTCCTGTTTTCTCACCTCATCTCAATATATCTTATATTTGCATCCATCATCACCTATTGGGCGAGGATGATGAATCTGTCCTATGAGAGTAGGTGAAGTCAGAGTTAGGAAACTTCTGTCTGTTAACAGTCTGTTAATAAGGTAGCTTATTATATGGATCAAATGCAATCAACCTCTGTATATGTTTGTAAGTACTCGTTACGCTTTTTTTTGTCTTTCTCATATTACTGTTTTTACTTTACTCTTTTTCACTTAATACACCCTGCCCACTCTAAGATGAGGAGTCTGTATATTTGTCAGATATGTTGTAATGTCTATATTTTCTTTGAACACAGTAGGCGCTTATGTTTTATAACTGAATAGATTTATCAGAAGCGTTGTTGTAGACTGCATTTATTCCCATCTGTCATATAACTATTATATTTTGCATTCGACAAGAGAAGCAGTGACTATTGTGCTTGTGAGTTTTGGATGTTTGTGTGTGTATGGTTGTGTGTTTTGCTCTTGTGGCTTTGAATGTGTCATTCTTGTCTTGAATCCCCCGTAGTAAAAAAAATTACTTTTTATATAAAAACAAAAAAGGATAGTAATTTATCTATTACCTAAAGAACGTGTAATTTATTTTTTGTTTTAAGAAGCAGTAGCAGAGTTTATGAGATTGTTATTACAGATACACAAGATTTTTTTTTATCATGCAAAAAACAGTGTGGAAAATTATTATCTCAAAGCTTCATTTTAAATAAAATTTTAAACAACAGAGAAGTGATGTGTCTTCATGGCTTTTTGTCTACTGAAAAAGGGTGATATAGCCAGTGTACTCCAAACGATGGCGCCGTTGAGTCTCACACATAAAAGAACAGAAAATTTGGTGCCCAAAAAAGCAGCTTGTTTGTGTGTTTTTAAATAAAACGTGGTTGAAATATTGACTGAGCAAAGTTATGCTTACAAGCTTGACTTGATCATCCAAATGATATTTTAATTAATTAATGTATTTCATTTTTTGACCACGAAGTCTCTTGAGATGCATTACCTGTTTTTCAAGAGTGAACCTGTCCAAATGGCACCACAAATAATTTTTACAACATTCACATACAGCATAGGCCTTATTGATCAGACATGAGTTACATGAATAAACAAAGTCCTTCATGAAGCATTTTTGATACAGAATGTGGTGTTTAAAAGGAAGGCAGTATTTTCAAATCAATTTCATCATGCAGATTATAGGCTACGAACTAGCATTATTTGCCAAGGTTAGAAAGGTCAGATACTGTGAAAACAGAGAAGAAGAGTTTGAAAGTTTAAAGAGTTTGTTATACTAGAAGTTTGTATAAAGTAGCCTGTAAAAGGCCTGAGAGTGGCGTGGTTGGATGCCAGGGGATCAAGTGACAGGGCCAATAATTAAATTTTCTGTTATTTTCTAGCAACAAGGTCTTGTTGCTGTTTTAAAGTCTTATCACATAATATAATTCTGGTGAGGAAATACTAATTTAGTAAGAGAATCAGTGGTTTTAGTGTACTATGTCAGTTTATCATTTCCCCTGAAAGTAGTCACATTTGCATAAACTCCCTGTGGGTTCCTAAATACCCTCAAATTTCCTGTAAATAGAGTGTCCTATGTGTCCTTCATGAATACCCTGTAGGATTTCTAAGGTGTTTCCATAAGTTTCTGAGATATTGTACCTGTTTGATATAATGTCTTTAGGGCAATGGGAATATCTTCATGTAAAGGTCCAGACCAGTGAGATTGAAATATAATGTTTGTTGTTGTTGTTTTTTTAAGTTTTATTAAAAATTAACTGCTGAATCTTTCATTTGTTTGCTCCTGCTTTCAAACAAGCAAAATATAGGTTTTTGAAACTTTTGCCTAGAGGTGTAGCATTAAAGTTTTAAGTGTTCCCTTGCGTGCATTGTAGCCGGTGCTTCTTCGTCGTGCAAAGAGGCTTAACAGTCCCGTTGCGTGCCTCCTCTGCGGTGCTGGGTTTGTAAGAAAGCCCCTAGTGTGGTGATATACATGCAAGTGCGTGTATGTGGGTGGGTGGGGTGTAGCCTATATGGTGGATGAATGTGGGGGGGCTGTTGGCTCACAGAGGCCGCGAGGCAAGGCAGGCAGATGGTGACCTTTTGGAGTAAATTACCATGAACCCTATGAGTCTTTCTTTTCACTCAACCTCTCTCGTTCCAGCACTCTCGGGCACGCACACACACACACACACACACACACTATAAAGATAAGTTAAAAAAGTGTCATCTTGCTGTTGGTTTGTTTGGCAGTAACACAGGAGGTTGTCTGTTTTTACATATCTAAGTGAAATAGCCGAGTGGCCGGTTTTCCAAAGTACAGGCTGTAAAGTAGGCCAACTCCAACCCCGAGCTATCACGCCTTCTCTCTGTCACACATTTTACTCTGAGTGGGTGTGATTTCGGGTTCGGGCGTGAACAGCTGTAGTAGTCGTGACTGCGTGCACGTCATCGGCAGCGCGCTTCGGCTTCACTTCAAGAGGTTTCAGCACCAAGGCCAGGGCTCGCGGCTAGAACAATAGGCGGCTCCGCTGACGGCGGAGCCCAGGCACCGTCCACAAAGTCTCAACCGCAAAAAAGGGTTTTAGAGCCTAAAACATCGCTTTGTTGATGTAAAAAAAATTAGTAAGTATATCAGTTAGGTTAGATTGGAGCTGTAAAGGCGGTGGAGTGAGTAAGGGGAGGTATTGTTTATTTTTTCGTGTGAGTAAAGAGCACATATTTTAACGACGTTCCCTGGGAGGTACGTCACAGGCTAGCAGCCTTTTGGTTGACTGGGGGGAGAGGGAGAGAAAGAGTAGAGGAGATACCGGTGTAGGACGTGAAACGACATCCAAACGTCGGACGGGTGAGACGCAACAAGAAAATAGTAACTGAGAATAGCCCCTATTCACGGTTGAAACAATAACTGCAAGGCTAAAAAGGGCTGTTAAAAGACCGAGCAGGTTTAAACAATTTGATGTTGTCCGAATTTAAGCAGCTGGTTAGCCTGTTGTCACTTTGTCATTAAATAGGAATTAAGAGTGGGCTTTCGTGAACGTGAAAAGTAACTAGCTGGTTAGCTCGCTCCACTCTGGGTTTTGAGAGTTGAGAGGCTGGTTGAATTTCAGTGGAACCGGCGACAAGCTGTGATCTGGACTCACATCCTTTCAAGACCTCCACACCGGGCTCACGGGGGTTTTGTCAAAACACACAGCCGAGTCTCTAGTCTCTGTACACCGAGAAGGAGGAGGAGGAGAGAGGAGAGAGGAGAGACTACGGCAGGCACAAAGAGCGGAGAGCATCCAGGAGGACGGGACGGAGAGAGACAACAACGGGGACCCGACAGAAAAGATCCCAGATTTCCGAGCTGGACAGGCAACGCTCATAAGAATCACCTGAAAACGGTAAGAGCTTTGATGTATGTAGGCCTAGCCCTGGATATTTCCCTGTGTTGTTTTGTTCTGGTGTGTGTGTGTGTGTGTGTGTGTGCGCGCGCGCGCGCGCGCGTATATGTGTATGTGTACATTGAGGGGGGATCGGACAAAGAGCAAGGGAGCCCCATGACATCCGTGTGTATGCTGTAACCTACAGCTGGCTAAACAAAGAAACCGCTCACGCTGTTTCTTCTCTTTTTTATGTGTAGGGATCCTGCACGCTGTCCACCAAAAGGTAATGCATGCTTACAGATATTTTCGATTTATATGTATATATTTAATTTTTTATTGGGGGGGGGGATCCCATTATTGTTTTTTGATTGGCTTATTAACATTTGCATAAGTGTTTTACCAGTAGGTACTAGAGCCCTTTGTCATCATGCTGGGCAATAAATACTCAAAATAATTACGACCATAATCCTTACATTTATTTACATAATTGGGATACACATTTTATAGCCATAGAGCAAATTCAAATAAGAAATATTGCTCAGAATTTATGTTGTTAAAAAACAATGTATTCTTCATTATTTATAACCTTACACCTAGAAATATGAAAATACTATAGTAAATGTAATAAATGGCATATCATGAACACAACCCCAGAGAGAATACTATGAATAGAATTGTGATAGCACTGGAGTTTTAGAATCTATAAAGTGTAGTGTAAGTAATTATGAAGGTATTATTAAATACCAAAGACATACCATAAATAAATATTTTTAGGTTTGTTATTCTGACTATTATTGTATTACTGTCCACTTTTTTGGCTGTAACCTAAAGACTCATCCAGCATCGGTTGCCCCTCTCCAGGGATAACTGCTCCTGATCCGTCTGCCCCTCAGCCCCTGCAGTACCCAATCGTCCTCTCCACACTGTCCTGATGAAGGAGGCCGACGCCATCAAGCTCTTCGTGGGGCAGATCCCCCGGAATCTGGAAGAGAAGGACCTCAAGCCTATCTTCGAGCAGTTTGGCAAGATCTATGAGCTAACTGTGATTAAGGACAAATACACTGGCATGCACAAAGGTAGGTCTCGCCATTATAACCCAGCCTAAACATAGAGAGACAAAAAAGACTATATCTAGATACTAGATAGGTATGCGTGTGACAGTCAGGCAGATAGATGGGTGGATTTTCATGCGCCGAGTGCCATATGTCACCATGGAAACTGTCACACCTCCTCTCCTCTCTGTCTCCTGTTAACACTGCAACTGGGAGATCATGAAGACGCTCAGTACACGTCCGCTGTGAATCAAAAATATGCCTATTTATCAAGGCAAATTCCTCTTATGTGAAAATGTACCTGGTGATTCTGATTCTTAAGTATGCTTGTGCTAAAATGTACAATACTGTATTTAAAGGTGTGATGAATAGGTTCATAATACATGGTATATAGAGTTGAGAGCCTCCTGATTTGGAGGCTTTAAATAATAGCCCCTTCGAACAATAGATTGGTAATAAACTTTAGCAAAAAACTCTCTCTCACGCACACACACACTGTCCTAGGGTCGGGAGTGTTATGGACCAGATTAGGCTGTCTCCAATCAGTGTAATGGGCCTGTAAGCTGGGGTGACACAGGGGAAAGAAGCTGTTGTTTTGAGAATCCCCACATCCACAGTAAGCCCCTCTTAAAAGCAATGAGATGGGCCATAAGATGCGTGTATGTGTGTGTGTATGTGTCATGTACTTTCCTGTATGTGCTCGTGTGTGTCTTACTTTCAATTTTCATCTTATGGCATTATGTTGAGTCATTCTCAGTTTTTCAGATTGTTTGAATGTTTTCGTTCCTAATCGTCAAATCTTCTCTCCTTTACTCTGAAGCTACATTAGTCTTTCTAAGATGTCACCGGGATGCTAACCTGCTGCTAATCTTGTTGTCTTAGTGCTGGTGACAGGTGTAGTAAACAGCTCTGGCCAGCCAGCTCTACTACCTACCCCTCCCTCACACACACAGACACAGGTACAGAACATAGGAAAACAGAGGGAGTGTATTTGGAGTGATCGTGAGGCATGCATAGTGGTTGATATAGGGCAGGAACCTGACTGTGCCCAGCCTGTAAGGCCTTGTTAGCCCCGCGCACACGTCTGTCGTGCTGTCATGTGTGCTGACTCGTGCCGTTCCGTTCTGAAATGTGCCGTGCCGTATAGTGTCCTTCTCTGCTCTACAGTGCATCATCATGGTGTTGTCAAGTTTAATTACCGTGCATGAATATATATATATATTTTTTAATCCTCTCACACAGTTAGCCCAGCGGTAATTCAGAATAGGTAACAAGCAATCAGAGAAGGCTTCAGAAAAAGGAGATATTTAAATCATTTAAATGG